GACATGACAGTGTGTCTCACAAATGAGTGCGCACAGTCAGTGGTGAACTGCTTGAATTTTTTTAGGGGCAGTGCAACAGTTCCACTGAAACTGTTTGCAGTAACGCCTCTTGGATCGCTTCATATGAGACCGCTTCAGCACTGTCTTCACAACCGGGTACACATAGAAACCACTGTCATTCGTCACCGTTCTTTCAGCCTGTGGTTGGACCTTGTTTTTCTACAGGCAGGAGTTTCCCTAGAACTAGAGTTCAGTCATGTTGTGTCAAGAGATGCCTTCAGCACCTGGACAGAACCTCAACTGCAGTGACATATCCTTTGCCTCGAGTTCCCGTACTGTTGGCTGGTTTCTGCCGTTGCTGCGGGGCAAACATTTGCTGGTCCGGACGGACAACACATCGACCATTGCGTACATGAGCCGTAAAAGTGGTCTACGCTCCCATCACATGTCGCAACTTGCTGCGTCATGTCCTCCTATGGAGTCAGAAGCGACTCAGGTTGCTTTGTGCCATTCACATCCCTGTGCTCATTCATGCAGCAATTGTCTCAATACAGCACGTCAAGGTGGAGATCCAAAGTGGAGACTTGATCCCCGGACAGTCCAGCATGGACACACTGGCACACAGCTGGCCCCGGGGCCTACACAAGTATCCTTTTCCCCCAGTGAGCCTGCTCGCACTGACACTGTGCAAGGTCAGGCAGGATGAGGATTAGGTTGCACCTTACTGGTCCACCTGGACCTGTTTCCCAGAACTCATACTCCTCAAAACAGCTTCTCCTTGGCGGATCCTCCTGAGGAAGGACCTGCTTTCTTAGGGATGGGGGAACCCACGTCCAGACCTCTTGAACCTTCACGTGTAGTCTCTGGACAGGACACGGAGGACTTAAGTCTCCTACCTCCAGCAGTAGTTGACACTATCACTTCAACTAGAGCCTCCTCTATGAAGTGTGCTTATGGTTTTAATTGGAGCGCCTTTGTTGATTGGTGTTCTTCTCGCAGGGAAGACCCCAGTAGAGGTCCTGCAAAAAGGTTTGGAGTGAAGGCTGGTTCCCTCAACTCTGAAAGTGTATGTTGCCACTATTGCCACACATCACAATGCAGTAGACGGTAAAATCTCTGGGTAAATAGGACTTGGTCATCAGGCTTCTGAGAGGCACCAGGAGGTTGGAGCCAAACCTCTTCCTCTCTTGAGATGTCTCTCTGGTCTTAACGGACCTACAGAGAGCATCTTTTGAGCCCTTCCAGTCACTAGTGACCAAGATCCTGTCTCTGAAGACGGTTCTCCTGACTTTGTTCACATCCATTAAGAGGGTGGGGGACCTGCAGAAATTTTCGGTCAGCGAAGCGAAACTCAAACTTAATGTATGAGTTTTCAGACTGCTTTAAATACCTGGAAGCGGGGACTGGCTTGTGATGCAAATCTCACTCACATTATACATTGACCTGTTCTGCTACCACTGAAAGGCTCTCAGGCGAGATCCCAATACATCAATTCAGTCCATTGTAACGTCTCTGTTCCCTCCTTCAGGGAATGGGGGTTACATTAGTTAGCTTAGCTAGATGTTTTCTTTCTTGTGTCCTGAAGAACCCGTTCCTTAAAAAAACACACAAAAAACAGCTTAATTCAGTAGTCTTTCATTACATCTAAAAAAAGCATAAAAAATCAAATTTTATTAGAATTAGCTTCAGGGAATGGGGGTTACATTAGTTAGCTTAGCTAGATGTTTTCTTTCTTGTGTCCTGAAGAACCCGTTCCTTAAAAAAACACACAAAAAACAGCTTAATTCAGTAGTCTTTCATTACATCTAAAAAAAAGCATAAAAAATCAAATTTTATCAGAATTAGCTCATGAATTCAAAGATCCAAAACTATAACTTTATTTTTTTTTTTTAAATAAGACAGTCAGAAGATGGAAAGCTAAATTCAGTGATAAAATGTGTCTGTGTTTCTCTGTATGTAGAATCAGCTGGTTCAGTCACAGATAGACATTCATCAGATGATCCAGGACAGAATGAAGAAGATTCAAGAGATCCAGCACTCAGTAGAGCTGAGAAAGGTTTGTGCTTCGATCAACCCCAGTTCATATGGGCGTTTCTGTCATGGGCGTTTCCGATCCCGCTCTCCCATTTCACGATTCTCTCAGATCGCGTCTTCGATAATTCACACTGTGTGATTGACACTCACGTGATTGAGCACAGATTTGCCAATGATTTCGGGCATGTGTCGGCGATCTCACAAAACTTGTTGACGAGCGAAAAACGGGCTAAAACTGTTCAGTCAGAACATTAGTTCCACAGAAGATGAAGACGATGATGCAATAACATAAGATTTAATATGATACTCTAAATAAAAAGCCAATATGCGAGACAGTGTGCTGTGCACAAATACTAACCGACAAATGAACAGAACCAAGGAAGGAACACAAATATACAGAGATGATTTCATTTTGGGGTGAACAATCCCTTTAAATAATATGTGAATATGGAATAGATTAACAAACATTACTGTTCTCATTCATCAGAGAAACACAGAGGAAGAGGAATCCTCCAGTATTGAGATCTTCACTGACCTGATCCGCTCCATTGAGAGATGTCAGTCTGATCTGATGAAGATGATGGAGGAACAGCAGAAAGCAGCAGAGAAACAGGCTGAAGATCTCATTAAAGAGATAAATCAGGAAATCACTGATCTGAAGAGGAGAAACACTGAGCTGGAGCAGCTCTCACACACTGACGATCATCTCCATCTCATACAGGTCTGGCAACATCTCAGTCAATATGCACAATATTACAGGACACACACTCTGTTCTTTAAGGTCCACCAAACTGACCCAATGCCGGTGTCCAGTGGTGTGTCTGAAGGTCTCCTGTGTGTTCTGTCTTTTCAGATTTGATTTAATTTCAATTACACTTTTATCTGACTCAATTTTATCTTGACTCTGGTAAAGGGCTCTCCCTTCACAGTAAGCAAAGTATTTTGTTTAGACATGTGTGTGTTTAGACGGACGCCTGCATGTGTTTCTTCTGCTTGAGAGTACGTTTACCCGACACCGATATGCTTTTCTTCGTACAGACGAGTTTTCTTCGTACAGACGACACTATTTACCAGTCCTCTCTCTCTCACTGTAGATGAGCTCATCCCTGTACACTCGTCCACACACCAAGAACTGGACTGAGATCAGGAGTGACTCTGATGTGAATGTGAACTCTCTGTATAAAGCTCTGACTGAACTGAAGAAAACTCTAGATGAAAAACTCAGTCAAACTGGTGTGTGAATATCAAATACAGTGTATAGATTGTTTTGTTTTTAACTTACATTTTTCAAGGAATATTATGGGTTGAATAAAAAGTTGGTGATAATCACAATTATTTTATCTCAGTCTGCAAAAGATGACACTGTTTAAAAATATAATCATAAATTAAACTTGCCATGTCAGCATTAGACTGGTATGATAAAATCACTTACTAAACGTCTATGTGAAGTTACATCCAAACTTTAACTGATGCCATAACCAGTTATTGCAATATTAGTTTAACTTACTTTAGAGATATGCAAGTGACAGAAACTCTTTCACATGTCAGACACTGGACATTAAACATTAACAGATGTTTCCATTCACCATTTCCAGCCATATGCAAAGCATGCGGTCTCTAAATAAAACTGCATAATTGAACTTATTCTCTAAATATATATATAGGTATCCTTCTTTCCTTAATTTAATCATCTTAATCGGTTCCTCGATTCAAGCCTCAAAACTGCTTAAGTTTCCCTAAGAATGAGGAAAGTGTATCTCTTGGTTTTATGAGTGAAATGTCCTCATGCCACTGATGCTGCCAGTTGAGAAACTGTTAACCTGAAATCACTGCTATAAATAATTCATCATTATATTGTCATCTGTGTCCACAGGGTTGGAGTTTGTGCAGAACTTTGCAGGTACAGTGTGACTGACACCATTTTCTTCAATACACTTACAATACATTGTTTATAATCTGTATTATATACTGTATCTGAAAATGTTTGTTCTGAAGTTGATTGATAATGTCTGATCTCTCTCAGTGGATGTGACTCTGGATCCTGATACAGCGTATCCACGTCTCATCCTGTCTGATGATGGAAAACAAGTCAGTCATGGAGACGTTAAGCAGGACGTCCCAGAAAACCCAAAGAGATTTGATAAGGCTCTTTGTGTTCTGGCAAAGCAGGGATTCAGTTCAGGGAGATTTTACTATGAGGTGCAGGTGAAGGGAAAGACTGAGTGGGATTTAGGAGTGGCCAGAGAATCCATTAACAGGAAGGAGGTGATCAAACTGAGTCCTGAGGATGGATTCTGGACTGTGGTTCTGAGGAATGAGAATCAATATAAAGCTTGTGAAAGTCCACCTGTCTCTTTATCTCTGAGAGTGAGACCTGAGAAGATTGGTGTGTTTGTGGATTATGAGGAGGGTCTGGTCTCTTTTTATGACGTGGAGTCCAGATCTCATCTCTACTCTTTCACTGGTCAGACTTTCACTGACAAACTCTATCCGTATTTCAGCCCATACCTTAATAATAAAGGTAAAAACTCAAACCCACTGATCATCACTCCTGTCAGATGAAACGAACTAAATAACATCAAATCTCAAAAGATTAACTATGGATGTGCTGTTTAAAGAATATCTAAATAAAAAACAAAAATATTTGCACTAACCACAATTAATACGTTTTAAATTGCAACTATTAAGAATACAAGCGGACAAAATAAATGTATTCAGTCCCTTAAAAATCAACTATAATGAAATATTTGTGTGTTATATATACACGTGTAAATGGCTAATTTGTTACACATCTATATATTTCTTTTGTCTTATATGTCATTAATACTTCACTTGTCAAATCTACTTAAATTTGACATAATATGCTTTTTAAATTACATGGTGAAATTCTACAAAATGCAAAATTTACAAACTTTCCAGTGTTTCCAGAAAAATTTCTGAAGCCATTTTCTCTCTCTTCTTTCCAGCTGTTAACACATTACGATTTATATCCACATATAGAACAGATTTATTAACATACTTGTTTTAAATGCTTACAAATAAGCAGAAATACCGTAGTAAACCTGCTGTCATCAGAAACACACAACAGGACTAACATGTCACATCACACCATCGATAAAAGGAAAAACAAAGAGAAATGCATCGTGCATATAGAAAATGAATCATACTTTAGGACTATTACTGTAATTCAAAAAATAGTTTAGAGACACGAGATGGCACAAATCTGTTTCCCAGTGTTCCCATTTACATGCATTGTTACTTTTGTTTTACAATCTGATGGATAAGTCAAATCATAACCATAAAGTATAAATTATATTTACATTTACCCAGAATACAACTTTAACAAATTTACAATAAGGTATGAATGTAGTTAACTGAACTTGAATTATTTTTATTTGGAAATTATATAGGCCTAGTGGGATGCCAGTAATGACCAATGAATGTGTTTTTGAAAAAAGCTGTACTTATTTTATTTAGAAATAGCACTCAATAAAAACTAGAATCTGAGATCTTAAACTCATACCTGAACGAACTGAATCTGAAACGTCTTCATTAAAATGTTAATTAAAGCTGTTTTTATGAATGATGTGTGTGTGTGAGAGAACTCACCAAATCTGACGGGGTTTGATGGTTATTAGATCCGTTTTCAGTCCAACATCACTGTCATTAACCGCTGCCAATTAAACCTGCAAGAGAGAGAAAACTTAATATTGAGAGGAAGGACGAGTGAACCGGGGTGTGTTGTGGTCAGAGAGGGAATAAGGAATGATGGGATGTGTGTTACCGTATGATGAAGTATGAGCTAGTGATGGGAATTTCAAAACACTGCTTCACAAAGCTTCGAAACCTTTATGAATCTTGTTCTGAATCAGTCGTCGAACTGGCAGTCACGAGATTTCAGTAAACGAGACTTCATTACACCATCACGGATTCAAATCACTTCGACATTTCAATGGTTCACCGCTGGGGATTCACAGATAACCAATGAAGTGTCTGTGGGGTTTACCTGATCTCTGGTCAGTTTTATATATTTGTTGACACTTTAATTAGACTGTATAATTAAAAATGGTAGTTAATAGTCTCTTATTGGCCTGTTTAGCTTAGCCATACATAGAACAAAGGTCATACATGTAGCTATGATACAGGACACAAGGAAAATATTTTATTCACAAAATACAACCAATAGTACGGTAATGTTAAATCTTAAATCTTACTTGTGAAAAGTAACGTGAGGTCGTATTCCTTTTTAATGGATTTGAAACCTCTGTAACAAAACGTTTGGTTCCCATTGAAGTCCATTATATGGAGAAAAATCCTGGAATGTTTTCATCAAAAACCTAAATTTCTTATCGACTGAAGAAAGAAACACATGGACATCATGGATGACATGGGGGTGAGTAAATTATCAGCAAAAGTTTTCTTTTAAAGTGAACTACTCCTTTAAGCGCTACAGCAATTTTTTGTACATTACAACTGTGATAACATATTATTTGCTATTTCTATAATAAGGAAATAAACAAAACAACATACATTCTACAATCACTCAGCAGGGATGAAATAGGAACTGTTACATATTCATGATCATGGGCGGGGCTACTGAATGACATCACTGCAGGTGAGTCAAATAATTCAGTGAGGGTGAAACTTATAAAATAGATGAACGTGAAGCTTCTTCAAACGAACTCCTCTTTATTCACACACACTAAAACTAGTGATCACAGCTGATATTTACATTTAGGGTAAGTGATGGAAATGTAAGAGCTTGTTTCAGTAGTTTTATAATACAGGTAAAAACTCAAGTCCATTGATCATCACCTTGGTCAGTTAAAATAAACTAAAAATCATGAAATCTGGTACGATTAACTGTGGATGTGCTGTTAATGGATCAGAACATGTAACGTAAGTACTTGCACTGACCACAATCAAGCAGACACTGAAAAAACATCAACTATAATGAAGTATCTGTGCTATATTTCATCACGGCTATATTTGAGTGGCCAATTTGTCTATATATCCTAATCGCCACAAATATTTGTTTGCTGTTAACTTTCATTAATACTTTGTTTTTCAAATCTACTTTGAAATTTTACATATGATTATATTATATAGTAAAAATTACACATAATATACTACATTTTAGAGCCAGACCGATATATCGGCCAGCCGATATTATCGGCCGATATTAGGCATTTTCCAAACTATCGGTATCGGCAGTTATAAGGGCCATGAATGAATATTTCAAAAATAAAATAAAAACGGACGAAACACTTGAATCATGTCATGAGTGTTGGAGTTGTATAGTTTGTCCACCAGAGGGCACTCTACACCGTTCCTGTTGGTAATACTCATTGAGTTGGTCACGAGACATACATTGCTTGAATAACAATTACAAGAACATCCCCATCAGTTCTCTTAACTCAAATAAGCAACAAAATTTGTGACTATCATGTCCAGTTTTGCTGCTGTTAAATAAGCCGAGACTGAAGCGGAATTAGCTAGTAATAGTTACGTTACGTTGTTACAGTGTAGTCGACTGACTGTGCTATTAACTTTTGACAATGTGACTGAAGTATTTCTTTAATCGCGCGTGACAGTTATAGCAATGAGACGCATCCTCTCTCCTTGGCCTGTTATATTGAAAATGTATGTTTTACAATTTGCAGTTAGCTAAATTATGGCTCATGATAGACTAGCTAACCACAAAGCTAGCTAATGCCATCATCAGTCTGTTCTGTTGTGACAATAAAAGAAACAAGTTTCTTTTTAAAATGCATTATATTATTTTAGTTAAAACTCATAAATAACATCAAATAACTAATGTTAGGAAAATCTGTTAATGTTTTGTTGCTCATTTCTGAAATAAAAATAAAATAAAAAATATCGGCCGATATATCGGATTTTAAGACAAAAAAAAAGTTTGTATGGGTATCGGCCTTCAAAACCTTTATCGGTCGGGCTCCACTACATTTCCAAACTTTCAATAGTGTTTCTATTGTTATTTTGTAAGCAAATCTCTGAAGCCATTTTCTCTTTCACCTCTCCAGCTGTTAATGATGTTAGGTCATTTTTAGGTTCTTGGTTTATATTGTAATATAACTGCAGCATCTGAATAAAGACAAGCATTCAATTCCAAATCTAAAAACTAAACAGCTTGCCATTGTTAATGGATAAACATGACAAGAGACAGACGGGATATAATTTAAACATGGAGGATCTTTATTGTTGAATTAAATTAATTAAGAATGAAAATACTGAATTATTTTACAATGTAGATGACCCTTAAATCTAGTACATATTCTTCAAGAGAAGCGAGCGCATTAGAAGGTGTTTTTCACTTCGCTTTGACCACAATATCCACGAATCCGTGCACCTGAGTGAGCTGACGGCAGTCCATCGACGCCAGGAGCTTCTGAGAGCCGGAGACGGCGGGAACAAACTTCTCCATCAGGGTAACCGTCGCAAGCTTCTCCACATCACTGACACACACAAACACAATATCAACTCTCTGGAAGCTTCACTCTTTCAATATCATATTTAATGAAGTACAATTTATGTTTTTAAGCAAATCTAAAGTGCGTGAACACGTCACGGCTGAATCTAAACTGCTGTGAAACACTGAAAGTCTTACCCATTCGGGATCTTTCTGACGCTCTGCATTCCCAATCCCTCTATTTGGAATATAACGTTCCTCAACACTTGTGACAGCGGGTTCTGGAACGTGATCTTGACAGTCAACTCTTTACCCACCACAGCGTCCCCTAGAGGCTGAAACAGTACAAAACACAAACAGATGAACGTAACGCCCTCAAGAAAGCAGAGCAGCTGAAGAAAACAGATCTAGAGGTTTTTCGTATATCGTGGAAGGATAGTGTTATTGCTTACAGAGACCTAACTCTCTTAGAAGAGAACGAACACCCTCATAGATATTTATTTGATTCAGTGGCTAATTAACAAGAAATAAAGCTTCATCTTCAAACGTTTTCAGACGTCTCTCAGAATATAATGCACTACTATTATGATACTTGACAGTAACAATCTAACTGCAACCAAACATGTTGTGCTTGTTACACGACACGACTAGAGTCTCATTGGCTTACAGTGATGATGAGGTCTGGAGTGCGCAGTCGGAAGTTGAACTGTGTGGCCAGAATCTGTTTGGTCTGATTGACCCGTCCGGTGACCGTGAGCATCAGAGCGCCCTGATCCACCAGATGACTCATGTACTCCTTATACAGCAGAGTCCAGGGAATAGTCTTGGCTGAAGGGGGACAAGGGGACATGGTGTTAAAGGAGTAGTTCACTTTTAAAAAAAACTTTTGTTGATAATTTACTCACCCCCATTTCATCCAAGATGTTCTTCAGTCGAAAAGAAATTAAGGTTTTTGATGAAAACGTTCCAGGATTTTTCTCCATATAATGGACTTCAATGGGGTCCAAACGGTTCAAGGTCCAAATGAGAGTTTCAGTGCAAACTGTTCAAAGGGCTTTAAACGATTTCAGACGATGAATAAGGGGCTTATCAAGGACCCTCTGAGTCGTGACTCGAAAAAAGATTCGTTCATTTTGATGAACGAGTTCGAACAGGAGAGTCACGAACGCGCATCACAGAACAGAGCAAGGCGAGCATTTGTGCTCATAAAACTGAAACTTTTTTATTTATTTATTAAAGACCCTTATTCATCGTCTGGAATCGTTTAAAGCCCTTTGAACAGTTTGCACTGAAACTCTCATTTGGACCTTGAAGCGTTTGGTTCCCATTGAAGTCCATTATATGGAGAAAATCCTGGAATGTTTTCATCAAAAACCTTCATTTCTTTTGGACTGAAGAAAGAAAGACACGGACATCTTGGATGACGTGGGGGTGAGTAAATTATCAGCAAAAGTTTTTTTTTTTTTTAAGTGAACTACTCCTTTAATGACAACGATAAAACAACTGTGAGTCATTTTGCACTGTAGTTTTGGAGCAGACAGTCTGTGTTATGAATTAAAATATTTATAAAATACATCCTCATTTTGATGGATTTCATCCTTCATCAAAAGTAAGGAACAAACTGGGATTTTTAAAGGCAGAAGATGTAGAGAAAATGTATTGGGGGGTGGGGGGGCTGAACATTTATAAGGCAAACAATGCATTTTGGGCCATTTATATTTAGTTTTTAGTTTTTTTCCCCCCTAAAATGTCTTTTTCGTCTAAAATTGTGGCCAAGAATGGATTTATGGATGTTGATTAGCTAAATGTTGCATTAATGTCCCTTAAATTTAGAAACTTCACTCACTCTCTAGTGGTTTGAGGTCGACAGGAATCTTGCCCTTCTTCACGGTGGCTTTCAGCACTCCAGTGTAGTACATGACCAGCACCTCAAACTGCAGACTGGCCGTGCGCTGCTTTGAGCTCTTGTTCTTCAGGACGACGGAGAGTTTGGCGTCTCCACCGATACGAGGTCCTTCCCCGTCCATGACGATCTCAATGCTCACGTCATTTTCGGTGGCTGACGGGTACAGAGTCGGCTTGGAGCCGAAGCGACTGGCTCTTTCCACAGCAATGCGTTCCTCCTCCGAACCTGAGAGACAGGAAGATAAAGGGAGAGAATGAGGAGTGTGAGTTGCTGCTTTTCATTTAAGAGTTGGAGTATTAGTTCAGTTCCAAATACTAGATGATTAAGGGAATACTTCAACGTCGTGGTATAACAATCTCAAGAGAGCAGCTGGAAGAAAACAGATCTAGGAGGTTTCTCGTATATCGTGGAAGGATAGTGTTATTGCATACAGAGAGACTGCTAGATCTGCTTACTTTTCGACTCTCTTAGAAGAGAATGAACACAACCATAGATATTTATTTGATTCAGTGGCTGATTAACAAGAAATAAAGCCTCATCTTTAGACGTTTTCAAATGCTAGATTGATACTATTAGAGAGGAAATTACAACCACGCAATCTACTAGAGTATCACATCAGACGTTGTGTTATAGACCCCCTGATGATCAATTACATTCATTCTTTACTACAGGAAATTAAGAATTGTCTAATCTAAATCATTAAAATTAGTATGTTAGACCCTAAGCTACAAAATAAGATCTTTCCCAAAGTTATAGATCGTCTTCTTGATATTATTAATTCTACCTTGTCATAAGGGTACGTAGCGAAATCTTTTAATCTGGCTATTATTAAACCTCTTATTTAAAAGAGTTAGTAATTAAAGTCCAATCTCAGATCTATTTTTTCTATCAAAGATACTAGTGTTTTGTGTATACCTTTTGTATATATTTATGTCTGTTTCTTGTAGTGTTTTTCACGTTAGGGTTGATCACCTAAAAAACTACAACTCCCACCGGTGGACTACAACTGGCCCTACCTGGCCTCTGCAGGTGTGGGTTATCACTGTTGATCGTCCTGGTGTGTTTGAACACAGTCAAATGGAACGTACCATTGTGTTTGTGTATGCCCCCCTGAGGATGGTGGTATTACCGAAAGCTTGGCATTAAATTTTGCTTTAAGGACTCAAGTGTGCAGACAATTTATTTATTTTTTGGGTTGTCAAGTGGTATCTGTCTGGCACCTTGTTTGCCGTGAGTGCGGTGAAACTCTTTCAAATGATCAAAGATACTAGAAAAGCCAGTCTCCTCACAACTATATTCCTATATGAGGATTTTTAGACCGTACCACAGCACTGAGACAGCTCTCGTTAAAGTTACTGTACAAATCATTTGCTCTTATCATCCGACTGTGGTTGTCTCTCTCTATTAGTGTCACTAGATCTTAGTGCCGTATTTTGATACTATCAACCACACCAATCTTGTGAATAGACTGGAAATTAAGTTAGCATTAGTGGAGTTGCATTGGTATGGTTCAGTATGGAGTGCCACAAGGCTCAGTACTAGGACCGTTTCTGTTCACTCTGTACATGCCACCCTTGAAGATTTCATTAGGAAGCATGGCATTAGTTTTCACTGTTACGCTAATGATGCTCAGCTCTATATTTCGCCCCCTGAATGAAACTTACCAATTCACAAATTTTTTTTTTTTTTTCATATTTAAAAAAAAAAAATTCCAACTACTTAATTCAGAAAAAATACAGAGATACTAATTTTTGATAAATACTGTCTAACACTTGATGGCTGCTCTGTCAAGTCTGCATAGTTATGCATGTGTATGAATATAAATATGCATGGAAACGGGTTATTATTCTACTATTAAAGATGTTTGATAATAAGGAAACATATGCGTCTTTGATTCCTTAAATGCTTTACATGAGGTTTTGGACACAGATGCATTAGTTTTGTTACCCTCTGGGTGTTTGTAGAGGTGTGTGATGTCCACACGCTCCTCCGATCCCACAGCTTTGGTACTGATGCGCTGGCCGATGGTGTTCTTCTCCACGCTGACCTGACTGAAACTTCCATCGGGTTTCTTCTGCCAGTAGATCCTGTCACTGTTCACCTGAGACACAAGGAAACGAGTTCAGAAGACTCAAATTGAATGCAATGCTCAAAATGAATCATAAAAAAAGGCAAAGGCTTCACCTCGGCAAAGACGAAGGGCGTGTCGAATTTCAGGTCGACTTGTCCGTTGCGGACGGCGGAGACGGGCGTGGGGCCGCAGCGGTACGAACCCTGGCTGGGCTCCTGAGGGGTCGCGTCCACCACCTGCCATCCACCGTAACCCACCGGCAGGTCCGGGCGGGACATCCACGACTCGTTCCACACGTGGAAGTTCCTACATAGGAACAGAGTTTATTGGCAGCCGGATAAAATAGGCCCTGAAACTAAAATTAAAAAATGTAAGTCATTCTTATGCATCACGTTTGGTCATGTTAGCTTATCCTATTTATTAATATTTTATTACTAATTATTTTATGAGCGGTTTTATTTTCTGTTTTTTTTTTAATATGAAGTTTGAATCTTAATTTAATTATTCTAAAAACTTTGGACAGCCCTAATTAAAAAGTATAAAACCCTAAATTTATATACTACATTTATTAATACATATAAATTTATAAACGAAACAAACAACGAAATAAATGCACTATGAATATATTAAAAAAAATATATTTTTAATTTAAATTAAATGGAAACTCAGGTAAAGTTTCATTTCCCAAAAATCACAACTAGCTATTTTTAATTCTAAAGGGTTAAACATTAAATCTAAGTTTTATATTAGATACGTGTTCATATAAAATCTATTACTTTTTAAATAAAATTTAAAAAAATTATTTCATTGGGACAGCTCTAAATACACTTCAAAACCCCTGATTTTATATTGATAAACACTAAATAAACAACAATATAAATGCAATATATATAAAATTAAACTTTAATTGAATTTAAATGAAATCAAAACTAAATTTAATCTTTAAAAAAACCTTAAAAAACAACTAGCTGTTTTTCATTCTGTAGTTTATATATTAGATATAGGTTTTAGGAGATGATTGTTCATCTAAAATATATATTATTTCTCAAAATAATAAAAAATAAGATATTTTTGCTTCTAATGCTTAAAATAAAAGTCATGGGACGCAGAAATGTCTGATATTCATGGATAGTGTCAGTAATGATCACTTATATTTAAGAAAATCTAAAAAACAATCTATATTTTTTTATGTATAGACAGTAATTGTAAATGACACGATCATGAAAGGAACATGTGATTTTGATTGATGGATGGTTGTTTTTATCGTACCAGACAGAATCGTTGGTCTTGTCTTTAATTAATTCCAGATTGTCATCGATGTAAATGTCAGTGGTCAAGGAGAGATCCGTGTCGTGGGCGGAGCTGAAGTTGGTCACACACCGAGTCGGAATACCGAGACATCTCAACACTGAGAGAGAAACAGAAAGAAGCGCATTACAAACACATGGATGGAGTACAAGGTGAAGTTCTCTTAAACTTTAGTTATATTTATAGCGCCCCCTTGAGGACTGACGGTCACCCGCTGGCCAATCATTCTCATCTGATTTGCATATAGCATAGGTTTTGGCAGGCTACTTAACAATTACATTCAGTGTAATGCATTGCACATTATCAAATGCACATGATTTATGCCACCGAAACACCATCACGGTTATGCACGTACCAGAGGTCGTGACCCCGGCGTAAACCCAGCACTGGGCGAACTTCACGGGCTTTCCTGCACTCTTGTAATACTGTTTGAGGATGTCTCCGCTCCCGCTCCAGGTGGTGGGAGACGTCCCGCCTTCATAGCTGTTCGACCAATTACCCATCAGCACTCCTCGGTCGTCATTAGCGTTCACCTGTCACAGAGAAGAGGAGGAGCCCTTTCAGAACAGCCACAACAAACTTCTAACCAATCAGCAGTAAGGGGCGTGTCCTTGTGTGAGGGGGAGGAGCCTGTGCTGCATTGTTAATTTGGGGGTGGAGCTATCATGACAGGGGCGTGTTTGTTTTGGCGATTTCAAATATCAAACTGTGTTTCTGGGGTTTTTTGTACAAAAATGTATACTTTTATTCAGCAAGGACGCATTAAATTCATCAAAAGTGACAGGAAAGAAATTTATAATGTTACAAAAGATTCAATTTCAAATAAATGCTGTTCTTTTGAATTTTATATTCATCAAAGAATACGGAAAAATAAAAAGTATCACCATTTCCACAAAAATATGATAATTTTAAAATATTATAATAATCATAAATGTTTCTTGAGCAGCAAATCATCATATTAGAGTGATTTGTGAAGGATCATGTGACACTGAAGACTGGAGTAATGATGATAAATTCAGCTTTGATCACAGGATGTAAATTACACTTTACTGTATATTCACATTGAAAACAGATATTTTATATTGGAAAAATATTTCAGAATTTTTTACTCTATTTTCGATCAAATAAATGCAGCCTTGGTTAGAATAAAATACTCCTTTCAATAACATAAAAATAATCGTACCCACCCCAACAGTTTTAACTGTACTATATATTAATAATATGACTGTAATATTTTCACACCTTTACTCAATTGTTTAGATGGTTTATGAATGCATGTCTTGTGAATGAGCCTCACCAGAGCAGAAATCATGCGGGACACGATCACCGGGTCTCTCCATTCGGTCATCGCGACCCGACCCCTCTCCAGCAGGAACAGACTCGCTTCCAGGACGTCCTGCTCAAACTGACCAAACACACACCTCTCATTACAAAACATGAACAACAATAACAAGAGCAATAATCTCACTTATAGTAATAATAATGATAAAAATTATGTAAATACTACTAATAATGTAAATAATATTAGTATTAATAATAATTGAAATAATACAATAATAATAGCAATACAAATGTAAATAATAATGTAAATAATGCTAATAATAGTGAAATACTACTACTACTAATAATAGTGTAAATAATAATTATATTATATTAATAATTAAGAATAATAACATTGTAAATATGCAAATAATAGCAATGAAAATTGCAATAACAATAAATAAAATAAAAAAATAACTTGATAATAAAAGCAATAATAGCAAACAATAAAAAACACAATAATAATGTCAATACAAATAATGTCAAAAAAGTGGGGAAAAAATAATCACGTAAAAATATTAATATAATATTAATAATAGCAATACAACCACTACTACAACTACTACTAATAATTATTATTATTATAATGTATAATAATAATAATGGGAGAATAATAAAAACAATATTTTAAATATAATGATAATAATAATGCAAATAATAGCAATAAATGTGGAACAAAAAAAATGATTAAAATATAATACTACTACTAATAATAATATACAGCTGTAAAATAACATCAGCAATAATACTAATAACAGTCCCTGTCTGCAATGGGATCGTGTGTGTGTGTGTGTGTGTGTGTGTTCACACCTGGGCATAATTCCATGTTCTGGCTCCGATCTGCTTCTCGGTCCCGTAATAGATTCTGCCCATGCTGTTGAGGACGTACTCTTTCCTCTCCGCCTCGTTATCCAGATACACGGGATCATCTGAGGAGAGACAGTGGTGTTACTTCAGTGCTGCACATGAGTGTGTGTGTGTGTGTGTGTCGGGCCCGTATATACCTTCACACCAGGGGTTGAAGAGCAGGAACAGGTCGTTGGGGGCGCAGGGGAACAGCAGCTTCCCCCTCGGAGAGAAAGTCTCCACCGTGATCCGGTAGCGGCCGATGGAGGCGCTCGCCAGCGTGTGCACCGACACGCGGACCCGCTGGTCCTTCTGCTCCACGATCTTCATCTCCCAGCGGCTGTCCTCCAGCACGTCCACCAGCGGGACGGAGATGCGGACACCGGTCGTGGCGGCGGAGCCTGAGGAGGACACACACACACACCATCAATCATCCATAATGTCATTTATAACAGGCTAAATGCTTTTGTCCTGAATCCTGAAAAATAAAACGTGAAAGACAACATAAGTATCCAATGGAAAAACCACTCAAGTACACGTGAGGTGAACCTCGAAAAATTTGAATATCGTGCAAAAGTTATAATTCTCATATGAATTATGAAATTCAAAATTTCTGAAAATGTAAATATTTCAAGAAATCAACGGAAAAAAAAAGGATTTTAAATGCAGAAATGTCGGCCCTCTGAAAAGTATAATCATGCATATGCATATAGTATATACACTAAATAAACCTTTTAATTGGAAAAAAAAAAATCACTGAAATACAAGAACTGTTACACAATATTAACAATATTCACATTTTTCGAGGCTGGATTGTTTCAACCCAAATTTGGGTCAAATATGCACAAAATCTAATTAAAAAATGTACATTTGAAAGTGACAGTTGAAGTTGGGTTAAAAATTTTCAATTAAACTTTTAACCCAACATTTGGGTCTATATTTGACCCAATTTTGGGTTCAAACAACCCAGCATTATTTAGAGTGTAGATAATGGAACAAGGCCTATTTATATATATATATATACTGTATACACACACATTAATGTTTATCATTACTAGCACAATTACATATGCATCAGAAATAGAAGAGACAAGCATTATGTCTGGCATCTGTAGCCGGTCAGTGTCTGGTTTGTATAATAATAACTTATACAGTTACATTTGGATTCACTCTTAGAAGAAAAGGTTCCATATAGAACCTTAAAAGGTTCTATCAGCACTACGTATTTGGAACCCCTAAAAGGTTCTATACACTCTTAAAAAAAGGGTTCCTCTGGGTTCTATATAGAACCCTAGGGTTCCATACTTGGCCAATAGAACCTTTTACAAAAAAAAATGATTCTATATAGAACCATTTTGGAGTTCCATATATGAAGCGGGGGATGGAACCATTTCTGGTTCTAAATAGAACCATTTCTTCTAAGAGTGATTATGAGTGACTGCAGAATTTTGCATTCAGAAGATGTGCTTCTGAACACTGAACACATGACGGATCTTCTTCTCCACAATCTAATCAAATGTATATTTCTGCAAGTACTGCTGAACGGTGTGTGAGGCAGGCATTCATCAACACACACACACATTACTGCGGCAGGGTCAAAAGTGACAGTTAAGAAACTTATAATGTTACAAGAGATTCTATTTCAAATAAATTCTGTTCTTTTAGAACTTCATCAAAGAATCCCGAAACATTCCACACAAAACTCCGCAGCACAACTGTTCTCGACACGGATAATAATCATCATAACCGTTCCTTCAGCGGCGCCAATTAATAAAGAGGCAGGATTAGATGACATCATCATAACGATCCTGGCCCGAAACCAAGCACTTCATGACTCATCCGTTTGGATCGAGGAGCGAGTGTGATGAATGCACTCACCTGTCAGCGGGATAAAGAGAAAGATTATCTACTAACTGGCAGAACGTCTAGCCATCTTTCCCTCTTTGTCACACACTTAGCCGATGTCTCAGGCAATCATTAATGTGTGTGTGTGTGTGTGTGTTTCATGAGTGACGGCTGAGTACACACACCACGAATGCACTGAGACATCTAATATTCACTGATTCTTCATCTTATTAATTCAGATATCGATTGTGATTTTCTTCTGATGTGGATTCTGGCTCCTCTGTTACTGGTTTTAATGGTGTTTGTGACTCGAGGTGTGTGAGGTAATTGTCGTTCAACAACTCTTTTTGATTCGATTATGCAAAGCCAGAAGTGTGTCCACTGAGGATGAGACGGGTGTATTACAGTAATGGAGAGAAACTGAACAAAAAACTGAAAACACACACGTCACGAGGGTATCCAGACGTGTCCCGGCGTGAGTGTGTCGGATTAGGATAAGCACAGATATGTAAAGGTGAAGTGAGATGGAATTTAATAATAATGACTGTCCCAAAACAGGTTTATCCTCCCCTCACACTTTGTCGAGTCAAATCAAGTCACATTTATTTATATAGCACAGTGATAACAGGAAAACATCTTTACCAGCCCTAACATTACAAACACATTATTTTAACCCCTAAAATATACCTTTTTTTTGGTCCTGAAAGCTCATTTTGATAATATTTTTTTTAATGCAATTTTTTGGGAGATTTTTTTTTTACCTTTAAATTACTAGATTTGATCAATAAATGATAAATAAATAGTGATTTAAGTAAATTTATCACATTCTTTCAACTTAAACTCAAAATAACTCATGCATAACCCTTTTAATTCAGCTGAAAATATCTTTGTCTTTGCCCAAGAAAAATAATAATAACACATGATATTTCATGGATCAATATGCATTCCGCTGGGTCCAATAAAGTTCACTTCAGTGTGTGTGTGGTCAGATAAACATGCAGACAGAAATTATTTAATTTTATTTAAAACTATTTTAATTAAATTATTTAATTATTTTATTTTATTATTTAAAGTCCCCGTGAACCGGAAGTCGCAAACGATTTTTCTCCAGTGCTGTGACGTATTTCCAAGTGAAAGGGAATATTGAACAGAGGGCAGGGTTTTACTCTAGCGCTCCTCCTCTCCATCTCTCGCTCATAGCAAACTAACGGTTTGAGGGGAGTGGTTAAGCGTTTCCCCACCCAAACTGTGAAACCTACGTCATCAGAAAAAGAAACCGTTCCAGACCGGAAGTAACTTTTCAGATTTTGATTAAAACATTTTTTTAATATATATTCACTTGCACGGATTAATTGTTCACCACAAGACTAGTAATATGCGCTAACAAAGTAAATCGGTTCAATTTTGATTTCACGGGGACTTTAAGTTAAGTGTTGTTCATATTTTCCTATGAAGCCTTCCTCACATTCCTAAGAGGGTCAAAATGACCCGCGATTGAAGGATCTAAATGATCTAGTTCCATTAAATGAATTTAAGGCCATGTTAAAATGCAATATAACTCAAAAAAATGTAACTGCCATTTGTGACCTGCTCTTTTCTTTTCTGTGTGATGATTGTTTGTTTGTTTTGGACTGTTTTATTTTGTATATAAATTGAATCTGGTGTGCCGTCTTGGCCAGGTCTCCCTCGGAAAAGAGACTCAGTCTCAAGGGACTTCCTGGTTAAATAAAGGTTAAATAAAAAAAAATCTGTTACTTTTTTCAATTTCAACCACAAAACTCAAATCTATACATTTTATTAATTTGTGTATTTGTGGTTGAATCGTCCTGGGGTCTGAGGAGCACTCGATGTGAACAGGGAAGGGTTGAGACTCACTCAGCTGCAGCTGCAGTTTGTCGGATCCGCGGGTGAAGGGTCTGGAGAGCTCGATCCACATCTGGAAGGTCTGTCCTCTGCGGACGATCAGGTGGTCGCTGACGTAAGAGTCCGTGTGATGCTCGCGACGGTTCGGCCCGTCTCTGGACTTCAGGAGGTCCACGGAGCGCACCATCAGCAGCGTGTCTGAGGAACAGAGAGGGTTCGAGGGGTCAGGACACAGTCAAATCACAAGTATGAAATACTCCTCATCCTCATCCTCACCTAAAGCGGCAGGTCTGGGAGAGACAGACGCAGACGCAGATGTTGGTGTTGGTGTGGATGATGCAGATCCAGATCCAGATGTTGGTGTGGATGATGCAGATCCGGATCTGGATGTTGGTGTGGTCGTCGGCACATCTCCACGTGTGCTGGGACCTCTAGTAGTGTTGGGATCTGAGCTAGACATTTCTACAGGTAGGCTGAGATAAAAAAAAAAAAAAAAAACCTAAATATGTTAAATATATTTTCATAAATAAAGAAAATATACATTTAAAAAATAAATATTAAAACAATTAAGAATAAATACAATTCTAATGAATAAATAAATAAGACCATGAAATAATCAAATAAATAAATATAAATAAATTAAAATTCGAGTAAATTGTATATATTTTCAAGATTTGTTATCACAACATTTTTTCTTTTGTCAAATCAACTTAACTAATTTATTTAGTTCAGATAACTTATTATTTTGAGTTTCTGATGATTAAATCAATCTCCTTCATTTTATGAACTCGCTTTTTCCAGTTTTTATTTTAAATTCAAATTTTAAGGCACAAAGGTTACTTAATTTTTTAATATTTTTTACAGACACACACACACACACACTATACTCACTGTAAAAAAAATATTGTTGGTTTAACTTAAAAAAATTAAGTAACCTGGTTGCCTTAAAATTTTAAGTTGATTGAACTGGAAAAAGTGAGTTAATACAATGAAGGAGATTGATTTAATCATCAGAAACTCAAAATGATATGTTCTCTGAACTAAATAAATGATTTACGTTGATTTGACAAAAGAAAAAATGTTGTGATTACTACACTGTAAAAAAATATTGTTGGTTTAACTTAAAATTTTAAGGCAACCCAGGTTATTTACTTTTTTAAGTTGATTGAACTGGAAAAAGTGAGTTAATACAATGAAGTAGATTAATTTAATCATCAGAAACTCAAAATAATAAGTTATCTCAACTAAATGAATTATTATAAAGTTGATTTGACAAAAGAAAATATGTTGTGATAACAAATCTTGAAAATATTTTTTTACAGTGTAATTGATATCATAAATAAATAATTTATACACTGAACAACATTATAAACGCAACACTTTTGTTTTTCCCCCCATTTTTCATGAGCTGAACTCAAAGATCTAGGACTGTTTCTATGTACACAAAAGGCCTATTTCTCTCAAATGTGTGTTAGTGAGCACTTCTCCTTCGCCGAGGTCATCCATAAACCTGCAGGTGTGGCGTATCAAGATGCTGATTAGACATGATTATTGCACAGGTGTGCCTTAGGGCTGTCCACAATAAAAGCCCACTCTAAAATGTGCAGTTTTATCACACAGCTCAACGCCATTAATTAAATTTATGTTCATCGAGATTTTACAAAGTCTGCCGTTCTGCTGTCTAAATGATGTGCTCTTTGTTATGGGTCTGAACGTCTTACAATATACATTAAACATTATTAATGTCATTTTGATCCAAAGGCTTGAAAATAAAATTGCAGTTTAATTAAAACTAACAGTGTGTGAGCGTGTGTTTATTTACAATTACTAAACCAGATAAATATTTCTTCTTGAAATATCAAGGCAGAGCCTACTGACCAATGTTTTGTCATCAAGTTTCTCTATTAAATCACACAGCGATTAATGACGAGTTCTGCGTCCTCAGTGACTATTGTAATTGTGCGATTATAAAATGATTATAGAGTACATTATGATCTTGCTTCTGACGGCATCCCCACCCATGCTAAACATAGTCATTGTCATTTTTTCACAAGTCTTTCACAACAAACACACCACTTACACTTACACACACACATCTACATCATAAACCCATTTAACAGCATCAACATAATCATGTCTGAAAGAATGACTTTGATCGTGCAAATACATGCTTTACAATAACTTTCATTCTTAAATAATAATTAATAATAAAATAATGAGAATAATTATCCTGTTTTAAAGTGATAAAGACCCAAACTGCACTCTAAAAAATGCTGGGTTGTTTTGACCCAATTTGGGGTAAAATATGGACAAATATGGCCATTGGGTTACATTTTTAAATTACATTTTTAACCCAATGGCTGCACTCTAAAAAATGCTGGGTTGTTTTAACCCAATTTTGGGTCAAATATGGACAAACCCAAAATGTTGGGTTAAAAATGTAATGTAAAAATTTAACCCAACGGCTGGGTTAGTCCATATTTGACCCAAAGTTGGGTTAAAACAACCCAGCATTTTTTAGAGTGTGGGTTTGTCCATATTTTACCCAAAATTGGGTTAAAACAACCCAACATTTTTTAGAGTGTGTAAAGTGCAACACGTATAATTTAATGCATTACTGGTTCCACATATATTTTCAATTCTATTAAGCATAATGTTCATCATCATAAAGTGCAGTGGTAATGCATGGAAGAGTGTTACCTGTGTCTCTGACGGAGCGTCCGGTGTGTGTGTGTGTGTTGATGTACTCAGGGAAAGTGTGGCTCTTATTTAAACTCGTCGCCACTCCTTCTTCTTTGTGACACAATCATGACATTTGACAGCTGGAAATACAGGACAAGTCTTCCACCTCTTACTGACAGGAATTATTCCAGAGAAATCAAATTCTCGTGAATCACAGATAATCAGCTTCAAATCTGTGAATCACCAATCGTTTCTGCGGTCCAAAAGCAACTAGAAGTCTGTTAAACATGATATATATCCTGCAAAAACGGTAAACTACTGGCAGCTGTGGTTGCAAGCATCATACCGTAAAAATACGGTGTGTTACTGTTTTTGAAATTAACGATATAGTCAGCTACAGTATAAAACTTTAATTTAACAGCTCTAACACAAAAACAGTAACACACCGTATACGGTATGATGCTGGCAACCACAGCTGCCAATAGTTTACCGTTTTTTTTCCAGGATTATTTTTTACAGTGGATTTAATACAAATTAAAACAATTAAAAAAAAATAATAATACAAATTATTAATAAATAAAATTTGGATAACTAAAATGCGAATAAATAAATAAAATATAAAAAGTATTAAATAAATACAATTCAGAAAAATAAAAATAATTTCAGAAAATTAATAAACGCATTAAATGAAATTCAAATAAATAAAATAAGGTCTCAAATAAATAGAATTCTAATAAGTACAATATAAATAAATGCTAAATCATTTAAGTGCAACCAATAAACAGATTTTTCAAATAAGTAAAATTCAAATAAATAAAAGTATAAATGCATCTGAAATAGACTTTATCAAATTATGCATGTATGTGTTTACGTTTGAACATGCATTCGATTTTGATTTGAGTCATCAAATATACACTTCACACACACACACACTTTTGAAATTTTTCATTTAATTTAAAAACTGTAAGTTTGTGTTGAACAAACACATCATCCGCATACCTCAACCTTTTCGAGTTTTGAATCAAAAATCACAGAACTAAAATACAAAAATTGTGTTGTGACAAAATACCAAAAACACAAGGTGTGTCCAGAAACGCTGAATGACAAGTATGCGGATGATGAGCGCGACTGGAAACTGAAACACCGCTGCATGCTTTGATATCTAATCTTCATGTGCAATTGAAAAGGTTTTCTTATAAATCTATAGTGTGCATAAAGTTTTGGGCCACTTTACAAACACAATCACTCATGCACACGTATATTACACATAAACACGTTTCCATAAATTCATGTTTTCCATTCGGTGACACGGAAGAGGAGAAACCGGTTCAAGTGTGAAAGCGATCGTGAGTGAAAGGGAGGGATGAGATTAGAAGAAAGAGTAATGAGGTGTTAGTGTGTGTGTCCAGTCATTTTCAGGAGTGTGTTATTATTTTAATGAGTCTGGAATGATAAAAGTGTGGGTGCGTCGCTGTTACGTTTATTAAACACGTCTGTTCAGTGACCAGGTCCACTTGCGATATCGAGGTATTAACACAGTTTCATCATCTTCTGGATCAGAAATACTCGGCTTGAATTGATTATTAATGCGTAGATAAAAGTTTCTCCAGAATTATTATTAAATGCAAAGTAAGATTAAAGCGTGAAACTCAAGTAAATGTAGGACTTTTAGAGACATGGACCAAAAACATGCTAAAACCTCATGACATGTATCGATTAATAAATGGATAAAAATTATGATAAAGGAATCTGCTAAAATAAATTTGAATGGCTATAAAGATAATATTTGTAAAAATTGTCAAAAAAACACAACTTTTCATGTATCAGACATTTAATAAAAGTGTCTGCTACATACAAGTAATAATAATAAATTGTTATATAGAATACATTTAAAATTAATTCAAAAACAATTTATAAAGCACAATACATTTAATGAGTGTATGTTAAATAAATAAAAGTATAATAATAATGATAACGAATTTCTAGCTATACATTTATAATAATAAAAAAACACATTTATAATACATTTAAATGTAAACCTTTAATTTAATTCATTTATAAAGCACTTTTCATTTACATTTAGCAAAAGCGTTCGCTAAATAAATACAAGTTTATTATTTGCATTAATGAGTAGTAGTATAGACTCGTAATAATAATAAAATAAATAAATAAATACATTTTTAATAAATTTTACTAAATGAGCAAAAATACAATTTTCTTGTTTGAAAACTGAACTTGAAGAAAAGAGACTGCTAAATAAATACAGGTATAATAATAACAATAAAACATAATTTACACTCATTTATACAAGTAAATATTTACAATTAATTAAGTTATTTATAAAGCACAATACATTTAATGAGTGTATGTTAAATAAATACAAGTATAATAACAATAATTGTAAATTAGGCCTATATCATTTAAAATACACATTGTAGTAAATTAATATATATATTTAAAAAAAAAAAGAAAGAAACAAGTGAAAGATCTGCGTCATAATGTGAAATATGAGGATATTAACCACTAAAGCAAAGACTGGGCAAAACCAAAACGTAATATTTGTCACTCCTCGTCCAGTCTCGGACGAAATGAATCCTGTTTCTATCTGGCGTTTCACATCCCAAAAAGATGAATAACCACACATTTGTTTAATAAAATGAGGCTAATTACATGACAGACTGATGAAAGATGCAGGAGTGTTTCTGAGTCATTACAGGAACTTTTGAAAAACTTCATTATTAAATCAAACTTCCTTGAATCAGTAATTACATTTCTTGGACTTGTGGGACATCACACACACACACACACACACACTGTCAAGGAATGGGCAGATTAAAGGTGTAAGGACTCAAGTGCAGAAACAGTGTGTATTTATTAATTAAACAAACAAACATAAAACTACAAACAAAACTCCCTCATGGAGGAGAACGAGAACGAGAACGGGAACGGGCAGAACCCGGACAACACACCAGCAGAGTTGCTTTCACACACATGGAGACACAGGCCAAAGCTTGGAAACACACTCCATCATATAAACATGGAAATAAGTGCATCATTATGCAATCATTTAAGACGGTTCTCCTTCACCAGAATTCTAAATAGAATTATAGAATGTGTATTTGTATTTTCTTATGGAAGCTTATTTCCACCACAGAATAGGAAAATCAATTACATTTTTTAAAAATAATTATATATAAAAACCCGAATAGTTGTAGTATTAAGTGCACATTATTAATCACACAATTCTGATTTTGAACGTAGCCATTCAGAAATATAAATGGAGAAAAAGTGATTTTGACATGTGGTGACCCGACGACCCTTTCATCCAGCGAACACGCATGACAATTCAGACGAACACAAGTCAGGAGTTCGACAGATGAACTACAGTAATAATTGTGAGAAATAAAGTCAGAATTGCGAGGGAAAAAAATAATTGTGAGATGTTGAAAAGGTAAGAATTGCGTGTGAAAAAATGTTGCAATTATCTTTTCACTTTTTCAGTAAGTGATGAAATGTATGAGCAATAATAACACACACACCTCACTGCTGCATTATGTTGCACAATATATGTACATCTTTTAATTCCAAAGAAGAGTAAAACCCTTTATTTCGTCACAGTTTGACGGATAATATGTGGCATTTCCTCAAGCATCATCATCACAGAATCAGATTGGCAGTGAAGTGTGTCTGTGTGTGTGTGTGTGTGTGTAGGACAGGTGCTTTTTCCAACCATATTTGGAAATAATGCTGTAAAAAGATGTTGCAAAACAGCTGGATCAGCACTGCCAGATTTCAGACACACACACACACACACACACACACACAGTAATGCAGCGATGAGAAAACCCCAGAAAGCTTGTGTTGAGATGAATATTAAATTAATCAAAGATGGCATTTGAAAAAATGTTGTTTGCATTTTCTCATTCAAAAATACATGATTAGAAATATTTCAATCCAATTACGAATGTATTGCAGTCCACAGAAAGTGAAACGCTGAATATAATATAAAAAACACACGAGTAAATGACTTTTTATTATGGTGATGATTAAGACTGACTGACTGACGTACTGACGGACGGACGGACGGATGGATATTAAAACAAGCGGAAAATACCTCACAAAATGTAAAACATCTGTAAATAAATAAATATTGTAATTAATAATAATAATTAAAAAATCTGCAATACATTTAAATAAATACATAAAAATATTGGATAAAATATCAAATGTCTGTAAATAAATTAATTATTGCAAGAAATAACAAATATCTGCCATCACAAAAGGAAATAAAAATAAATTAATAAATATTGACAAAAAACATGAAATATACAGAATAAAATAAATAGAAAAAAAATATTGCCTGTAATATTAAATATCTGCCAATATGATTTTACAATTGGCCAAAATATAAAATATCTGCCAATAATGATTAATATAAATAAATAAATAAATAAATAAATGCCCCCCCAAAAAATGTCACAGATAAAAAAAAATATTGCCGAAAACATGAAATATACATATCATTTAAAAAAAAATATTGCCTGAAATAGAAAATATCTGCTAATGATGATATGATTAATTTAAAACAATAATAATAATAATAATTAAAAACAATTCTACCAATATTGGTTAAAATCTCTTAAATATCAAATACTTAAGTAAATTAAAAAGTGTTTTTAAAATATATAAAAATCATGGAGATTATAATGCATCATTTCTCTACACGTAAAAGTGTTTTAAACTCGACAGCAGAACAAACAGACAGACCCAGGCACTTATAAACACATTTATTCCATATTTAGAACAATAAACACGTTTGATTTCATACGACACACAGCGTCTCTCGAACACGGGAAACTTGAAGACGAGCTTGAGGTGTGTGTGAGTGACGCCTGAACACTGTAAACACATGCACTGTTCAACAACTGGAGTCACACACACACACACACACACAGAACACACTCTGTCTCAGTGAATCCAACAGTGGTCAAGTGTGTGTGGCCCGTTCACACAGTGATCAAGAGTGTGTGTTTACACAGTGGAGAATCAGTGAGGTTCTTCGGGTTACTTTACACATAAAAACCACACACACACACACACACAGTGATGCACTCAAATCATATTTCAGCCTAGATTTAATAAACTTACTGATGCATATTAGTCAGTCATAAAACAGGCCAGATTTGTAGAACCGTACTGCATTATAAATGCACAAATAATTTAATTCAAATATTAAAATGTATCATTTGAAATATGCATTAAAATTGCACATCATATTTCCATTTATAGGCATTACATGACATGTACATATGTCAGGCACTCAGATTTCCATAAAAGTATTCATAATAAACTGTTTTAAAAGACACAATAACCCTCATTTATCAATGTGTTTCAGTCTCACATAATAAATGACTGAATAGTTTGTTTCACAGCTAAATATTATTATTTTTTACCACGTTAATACTTTTTAACTAAAAATATTACAGGTTTGTGTTGCTTCCAAGCAATTTAAATAAAACCATTTTAAAAATATGACCATTTAAATCAAATCAAATAGATGCAAATAATGAAAAAAATCCGTGATTATTTTTTTTGATTTTTTTGAGACTGACAAAAACGCATCACATTAAAGGAGCCGTATGCAAGATGGTGGCCAAAACTGGTACTGCAATCACTTAAAATGAGGGTGTATTAAATTGCATACAGCTCCTTTAAGTAAAGAGGCTATATGCACGAATTTTCATGTTTCAATCGCTTGCTAAACTTAAACGAGACCTGAATTTGTAGTTTTTGTAGGCTTGTAGTTCTTGAATGGCCCTACGTCACATAATACTTTTCCGCTAACACTTTACAATACGGTTCATTAGTTAACAATACTTATTCAGCATTTATTAATCTTAGTTAAAAATAATTTCAACATTTACAAATGCGTTATTAAAATCAAAGGTTGAATTTGATACCAATAGACTAACATTTTAACAATAAACAGCTGTATTTTTATTAACTAACACTAACAGAGATGAATAAATACTGGAACAAAAGCATTTCTCATTGTGGGTTATACTAATAAACCTTATTGTGAAGTGTTACCACTTTCCCAAGCACTGGTTTACTGTGTAAAGCCAGTAGATGCAGTGTGTGGTGATCACGGATGATGAGAAACACATATATTTGATGGAGTGTGTGTGTGTGTGTGTGTGTTCTTCACATCAGATGTAAAGTAGGATGTGCTGACAACATTTGCACAAGTTCTTCTGAGCTCACAAACCAAGCACATGATCAACATGGTGAAGTGTGTGTGTGTGTGTGTGTTTGCTACATCTTTAGGGGCAGGCGCTCAGTGTGTGTGTGTGTGTGTGGTTTATGTGAGGCCGATCTCCTCTAGGACGCTGCGGGGAGTCTCTGCTTCCTGTGGGAGGAACATCAACACTTTCCCTGATCACACACACTCACTGATAAAACCAGCAAAAACACACACACACAAATGTCCAACAAGCTTCAAACATCCAAATATTGGCTTTTTTATTATAATTTGTATTTTTTTTTATCAAATATAATTCAAAAGTATGAATATGTTTTAAAATGTATGAATAAAAATGCTTTAAATATTATGTTGTTGTTGGTTTTGTAAATATTTTTGTTTGTATATATTATTATATACAATATCATTTTTTATGTATATATTTTTTTTTATAAAACAGTCAATATTTGTGTATATAATATTGAATTTGTGTTTGTTTAATAAATCAGTTTTTTATAACAAAAACAAAGTTAGCATTTGAATTTTTAGTGTTTGTTTGGTAAATATTTGTTTTATAACAAAAATTGTCAACATTTGGATTTTAATGTTTGTTTGATCAAAAAATATTGTTTTAGAACAAAAACAAACCTATTAAATTAAACGTTGTCATAAAATATCTACAAACTAACGGTAAATAATTCAAAAATTGGTTTTGTCACACTGTAAAAAATATTTTCAATATTTTGTTGTTATCACAACATATATTCTTTTGTCAAATCAACTTTATAATAATTTATTTAGTTGAGATAACTTATTATTTTGAGTTTCTGATGATTAAATTAATCTCCTTCATTGTATTAACTCACTTTTTCCAGTTCAATCAACTTAAAATTAAGGCAACCAGGTTACTTACTTTAAGTTAAACCAACAATATTTTTACAGTGTAGTAATCACAACATTTTTTCTTTTGTCAAATCAACTTAAATAATTAATTTAGTTCAGATAACATATGATTTTGAGTTTCTGATGATTAAATCAATCTCCTTCATTGAATTAACTCACTTTTTCCAGTTCAATCAACTTAAAATTAAGGCAACCCAGGTTACTTTAAGTTACACCAACAATATTTTTACGTAATCACATTTTTTCTTTTGTCAAATCAACTTAAATAATTTATTTAGTTCAGATAACATATAATTTTGAGTTTTTAATGATTAAATGAATCTCCTTCATTGTATTAACTCACTTTTTCCAGTTCAATCAACTTAACATTTTAAGGCAACCAGGTTACTTACTTTTTTAAGTTAAACAATCAATATTTTTTACAGTGTCATAAAAAACTTAAAATGTTGTTTTTGGGTTTCATTTTAAAAACTAATATTTACCAACAAACTCTAAAATATTTAAATGTTAGCTTGGTGTTTTTTTAATTTAAAAAAAAAAAAAAACAACCTAATATTTACCAACAAACACTAAATGTTTGTTGGTAAATATTAGTTCTATATTATAATAAATATTATACTAAATATTAGGCTTTGTTCTGAACAACTTCTTGAAATCTAAGATTTTAACTTTTTGTTTTTCTTCCTGCAAGCATTGATCAACTATGAATAATTTACTCAGAAACAGCCAATTTATTTCCATGAACACACACAAACGGAGATCATTTAACCTAAAACATTAGAAAGGCAGAGCACCTTTGAAACGCTGATATAACAAACAGTCCACACACACACACACACACACACACACAATGAGTTTAGAGTTATGGGTTTTGTTCACTGGATATCTGAGAAGAACTTTTGCCCATGCAAACGTCTTGTATGAAATATTAGTCTTATGATGAGGAAGCTACAAAAATCTGAATATACATTTGCAGTTATTTTAACCCCTTAAGTGCCACGCCCCCTTTGAATAAAAATAAAAGATTGGTTTTGATTTAAATAAGACATTTGGCAGATTTGTGTAGAAAAAAAAAAAGATTTGAGTTTATGAAAATGTAAAAATACAATTATTCATATTTTATATAAAATATATTTTTTCAAAGCCTGGTGGACTAAGTTTTTGCTTGGGCGCAGTACCAAAATTTCCCACTAGGTGACAACCAGACTCCATTAATGCCTTTATAAGGGCGCCTCCATTTCCATATGTGTTTGAGTGATCTGAACCAGTATTTCCACAATTACCATACAATTTATGAAGTAGACATCCTATTCAGGAGTATTAAGGGACGTTTAGCATATTTTGATATGAATTCAACCTCTAATAAACATAAAAATAACCTGCATGTGCATCATAGCTCGCTGCCACATCACAAATGGTGAATCTATAATTATTTTTTTGTGTTTGAATTTTTTTTTTGAAAAAAAAATAAAAAAAAATAAATAAATACTGGATGTTATCTTTTGATCTCTTGGCATTAAACAAACTGAGGTTTCTATTCTTTCATGATTTCAAAATAAAGGTCTGAACACACCATGAAAATATTCTATAGATTACGGCTCTTCTGCAAATTATTTAGAAAATCAATCACCAAATATGAAAACTGACATCTAGTTTGTCAATATTAGTTTAGTTTTAGTGTAGGATATACTGTTTTGGATATGTAATGGATGACATTGGCGGGGTTAAAGACGTTGCGCTGGCGTGTTGTTCGGAGACGCCCCTCTGGGCTCAGCAGGGGGATATTATATATTATGAAGCACATGGAGATGAGCGGAGCTAAATTTATTCTCCGAGATCTGAAAATAATCAGTACGTGGGCTGCCATGACTCAACGATGACACAAATACATTTACAACACACTGAGGAAAAGCAGACACACACACACACGAGCAATCTCAACTTACTTTGGCATCCTGAACATCAGTGGGCCAAAAAAAAGAGGAGAAAAATCAAGATTTAAAAAGTGCATTAATTAATTCAGCCTGTAATTTGCAATCTTAAAAGTTTCCAAAAAGGTTTTTATGGTCACACCAAAATATTAAGATTCAAGAACCAGAAAAAAAAAACTGGTAAAATAGGCTAATTATTACCTACACGACAAAGTAAGGTGTAGTAAGGTTCAAAGGTGGAGCAAGAGGATGAAAGATTAAAAAGTTGTTGCTGCGAAATAACATGGACTGTAATAAAGATATTGAACTCTATAAAACACAATCACACACTTCTTGAAATTCTCACATTTCATTTGTTTATTTCTACAGCGTTACATGAATTTACATCCGCTCATATTCTCAGCGATTCAAAACATCCAAACATGAACGTGTTTACAGATCCAACTCAATATTCAACAAAACATTCATAGATTGTCTCGAACACTGCAGTGCAAAAGTGTTTAGGTGTTAAACGTGTGTGACCGCAGAAATACATATAAATATCAGCATCGGCACCAAACTGCATATTTTCCTTCATATTTCTCACTATTACAGAACGTACGAGCCTAAATTTATTAAATATGATACTCAAAATAAAACAAAAACTTTTCCTTGCTGATTAAAAAACTTAAATCTCCTTATTGAAGTTCCTTAAAACTTCAATAAACTCTTCCAAAATATTCGACTTTTCTGGCCATTTCATGTTAGGGTTAATAAATGACACTTGATATTTTATTATTTAATGCGGACATTCAAACATTTCTATATGTTTATATAAGCGGCCAAATATTTTGAGCCCGCTGTAGATCTGTGTGTGTGTGGAAACAGTAAAAATAACTAATAATTTGATATAACTTATAAAAACCTACACCAAAATGTGTTTAAAATAGTGTACTACAAATACATTTTTACTGGAATATCGATTGAGACTTACTGGTATAGATATTATAATTAAACTTTACGTGGAGTGCCTATTGCACAATGTACATTTGTTAATATTAAAAATAAAATGTGTTCAATATCAGTATTATTGAGGATAGTATGATCTCTATACTTTCAATATAGTTCCACTTTAGCACAAACACACTTAAATATATTTAGTTGAACTTCAGCACTATTTCTGGATGACTAAAGTGACTTGCGTATTAAATCAGTTTTTCCAATTTTGCAGACTTTAAGTATATTAATTTAGTACACTAAAAGTACAATTACAGGATATTTACATTATGTACAGAAATATGTATTGTATTTGTAGTATACTTAGCATAAAATAAATGTATTATATTTATTTTACACCGGGTTTTTACTAAAAGAATCATGAAAGAAACTAAAGTTGCCACCGCACATACATACTCACAATTTATAAATCACAGCATTTACCATCCGTAAACTTACAGCTGTTGTTCTGAGGATTGATTTGCCTAAAACAAACTGAGCACTGCAAAAAAGTCCTTTGTCTTTTTTCTGAGAAAAATAAATCAAAATTAAGTGAGTTTATGCTTAACATAAAAAGAGATATGTGGTCAGAAAAATAAAGTTAATTTAAAGACATTTATAATTAATATAGAATGCAAAATTTATAAATATATAACTTATCGGTATCAGCCGATATATGTTCATTTTTAATGTAAAAGAAAAGAAAAGAAAATTTGGCTGATATTAAAGCCGAAAAATATTGTATTATTTTCATCAGCTGAGACACACACTGTTTAACATTGTGTTTGAATTGATTGAAACATGTTTTTAATCACTTTAAAAAAAGGAAAATACAGTAAAGTGAAACAAGTCTGTCATATCGGCTACATAAAATGATCATGAGAACATTATAATTGTGTGTTTGGGACACGGATTTTAAAAGGTAAGACTTTTTTTGTAATGAGACTCTGAAAAATTATAAATTAACCAATATATCGGTTATCGGCTTTCAAATATAAAGAATTATCGGTTATCGGTATCAGCCAAAATTTCCATATCGAAGCATCCCAATATAATATAATAAATGCAATGTAACGTAATAATCTTTTCAGATTTTTTTTCTTGTGTTAATAAGCATAAACTCACAAGTTATTGCTTTTCAAGTAAATGCATCTTGATTTTAAAATGTGTTATATAATATTTACATATAACAGATATTTGTGTCAAAAATACTGAGGAAGAACATCATTTTTTGCTGTGTAATCATTAAAGCAAAAAACATCTTAAAATATCCTTACGTGGGAATCAAAACAGCATTTAATATTACTAACCCGCTTAAGTTTATGTTATTCACTTTTGTTTTCAATGGTAAAACCAGATGAGGACACCAATTAAGAATGGGATTTCTGCTCTGAAACGAAGACTGAAAAGTCCGTATGATGACACAGATCTCATGAATTTCTCAGTGTATTTGAAATAATGTCCATTTGTAAGAGTTATTCAGGTGTTTGCGCTGATTTCTACGCTGAAGCTACATGAACGAGTGTCGCCTGAACAAGATACAGGAACACAATCAGTTCAGATGAAGGACCAGCATGAAGAAAAACACAAAATCCAAATCCAAAATCTGACAAAATCCACTATATCTGCAGGGGAAACCGGGTCCAAGATGCAGCTCTCTGATTGGACGGCGCTGAGACAGAGGCGGAGTCAGGCGTGCAGGGGGAGTGGCTCAGCATGCAGCAGCCAATCAGTACACAGGCACGTTAAAGTACTCATGTCGGGGCTGAAGGAGAGACACACACACACACACACACACTGAAAATGGTGCAGACAAACACAACTGTGAGATGCAGACAGACACGTGCAGGACGACATGCAGTGAACACATTAAACTCAAGCACTTTACATGCAGTCTCACTCCGATTACTGGCAAACACACTTTAATCTGAACGGACAGATGTGTGTGTGGAGTAGCATTCAGTCTTACACTCATGATGAGCAGAAATACACAGATACACATTCTGCTCAGACTTTATACACTATATTATATATGAACTAGGGCTGTGCAAAAGTTAATTGCGATTAATCGCATCCAAAATAAAAGTCTGTGTTTACATAATATATTTGTATGTGCTGTATATAATTATTTTGTATATATAAATATCTATGCATGCATGCATATATTTAAGAATTATTTGCTCTTAAATTCTGTATATATATATAAATACATAATCTATATTATATAAATATAAATATTTTATATATGAATAACACATTTTCTTAAACATATATTATACATGCATGTGTGTATTTATATATACAAAATAATTATATACAGCACATACAAATATATTATGTAAACACAGACTTTTATTTTGGATGCGATTAATCGCAATTAACTTTTGCACAGCCCTAATATGAACTAATCCTGTCAAGAGATTCAAATATCTCCAATTAATCTCAAGATCTATTCTGTAGTAAATGTAATTATTATGAAATATATACTCGGTTGTTCCAAAGTTTGCAGTTGGTAGGATTTTATTTAAGGGAATTAATGCTTTTATTCAGCAAGGATGCATTAAAAATAGAACAAAAGTGACAGTAAAGAAATGAATTATGTTACTAAAGATTCTATTTCAAATAAATACTGTTCTTAATGAAAGAATTCTGAATTAAAATGCATCACTGTCATAAACGTGAGCATCAAATCATCATATTAGATAATCATATTTCTGAAGGATCATGTGACACTGAAGACTGGAGTAATGATGCTGAAAATACAGCTTTAAATCACAGGAATAAAGTACACTTTAAAATATATTAACATATTATATATATATATATATATATATTACATATTATAAAAAGAAAACAGATTTAGCTTTTTTTATGTATTTTTGATCAAATAAACACAGTCTTGGTAGGCTATTATATATATTACACATAAAGACAGATACATATATAGACACATATATACATATATATTAGGGCTGTGCAAATATTAATTGCAATTAATCGCGTCCAAAATAAAAGTTTGTGTTTAGATTATATATGTGTGTGTGTGCTGTGGATAAATATTGTGTATATATAAATACACACACATGCATGTATATATTTAAGAAAATGTGTTATTCATATATAAAATATTTACATTTATATATAGATTATGTATTTATATACATACAGTATTTACATGCAAATAATTCTTAAATATGTACATGCATGCATATGTATTCATATATACGAAATAATCATACACAGCACACACACACATATATATATTATGTAAACACAAACTTTTATTTTGGATGCGATTAATCGCAATTAATCTTTGCACATCCCTAATATATACACACATATATATATATATATATATACATATATACACACACACACACACACACATATATACACACTCACAATATTATATTTCTTTATAAATAAATATGTAATTTTTAGGGATGCCCGATATATCGGCCAGCATATCGGTATCGGCCGATATATGTTCATTTTTAATGTTATCGTTATCGGCCTGGTAAGAAAATGTGGCCGATATATTAAAGCCGATAAATAATGTATTATTCCCTTCAGCTGAGACACTTGTGTAGCACTGTTTATGTTTTTGAATTTCTTGAAATATGATTGAAATCTCTTCAAAAAAATTAAAATACGGTTCGGTACAACATGTGCAACGCAAATCTGTCATATCGGCTATACAACACTATAATGAGAACATCATTATAATTGTGCGCTTGGGACATGGATTTAATTGTGAGACTTTTGTTTTTGTAATCAGGCTCTCAAAATTAGATAAAAATGTGGATTTGAGTTTATCGGCCGATATATCGGTTATCGGCTTTCAAATATAAAGAATTATCGGTTATCGGCCAGAATTTTCATATCGGTGCATCCCTAGTAATTTTATACATTTATAATATTATTAATATAAATCTAAATATAGAATAGTTAGTCCTAGTGAGAACTGCAGCTGTAAAGTACAGCATTGGTAAACTGTGAGGGAAGAGGACGATGAGAAACACAATGACACACACATATAAACACACACAGCTCATGATATGCGTGTTAAACGGGTCATCTAGAGCCACGACGACACCAACACACACGACTCTACGACTGACGGAGAGCACACCTGAAGCGCTCGCCTCGAGCCGGCTAACTCTGGAAGAGAACGGACGACTCGCAGGACATGCTCGGACTCAGAACACCTGCAGGACATTCACACACACACACACACACACACACACGTGATTTACAGACACCTCAGCATCCAGTCGATCCACAGACACACACACGGGCTGAATCCGAAATCGCCCCCTAAACCCTCATTCACCAAGTCCCCTAATCTGGTCCACTTGAAGGAGTGAATGAACACGAGTGCGTGAACTCGGACAGCCGCTGAGCGTACATCGGTTGTACACTCGTAATTGCAGTGCATTGTGGGATTGAACGAGTGCACTTGATAACGTGCACTATGTTTTCGGACAGCGCTACACATTGATGTCCCCTGATATAAAGCCCTATTTGTGCCTATAGGGGGCGATTTCAGGCTCACACACTGGAAAAACTGATCAGTTGACTTAACTTATAAAAAATTTAGGATACCCGTTGCCTTCAAATTATTAAGTAAATAAACTTCATGCTTAAAAGGATAGTTCACCCAAAAATGATAACTCTGTCAGCAATAGAGTGCCGAAGTTACGACGTCACTCTGTAGGCCAAAACGCGGTAGTGAGTTAGCATTTTAGCATTACGGTTCCCTCGCTCTAAATCCTATGGGATTTTTGAATGGGTTTTTGCTAAAGCGCCTGAAATAAGGTCTGTGGTGAACAAAGCCTCTAAATATTTTCACGTTTTGATCTATGACATCGAACACACAGTTATAACCTGCTTGTGGTGTCTGATTGTGTTTTTTAAAATCTTTATATAGGCTTCAAAAGGTATAAATTTTGGATTAGCTTGTAAAGATTATCTTGCTAGACAAAACGTGTAAGGGTTACACAACCCTTTGTTAAACACAGATCTTATTTTTTGTGATTTTCCAAAAGTCTATGGGGAAAATGCATTGCTTTTCGACCAAGGAAACCCATGCGCCGCTAGCTTCCGAGTCGTCCTACAAAGTGACGTCATCACTTCGGCACGCTATTACTCTCCCTCATGTTCGTTCATCTTCGGGACACAAATTAAGATATTTGTGATTAAATCTGAGAGCTGGATCACTCCTCCATACGCCTCGGTCACACTACATGATTTGAAGCCCGATTTGCAAATCGTTGCGCTCAGGTGTTATCGCGTGCAAACCGCGAGGGATTAGCGGACGATGAACGCTCGCTAATCTGTTAGGATGAAAGAGCCAACAACGCATCAAAGATGCTCGCAGACGCCTCGCCGAGCCCAGAAAAATATCTAGCTATCCAGAGCTGTCGCGCGACTCAACCACCAGTGATGTCATGAGCTACAGCCAATCAGAGCAAGGCATGGGTTGAGGTCACCGGTTAAATATTTTTTCTTATTTTATGCATTTTTCTCAGAGCAAAAGTTTGCAGCACTAGTTTGTCTGACGTCCATATTCACGCGTTATGTTCATCTTCGCTGGGTATTGCCGTTTCGCGTCATTTCCGGATCGTTTTATCGCGTGATTTTTCGTGACAAAACGTGGTTTGTAGATAAGATTGAATCGTTAAGTCACAGAGTTGTTGGCAACTGGTGTAGTACGTTAGCTGTGTGATAAAACGAACAGTATTTATATCGTTTTTACCTCTTGTAACCACGTCTGATCTGAGGGCGCGGGCGCGGGCGCTTTGCGGTAAAACGATATAAATACTGTTCGTTTTCTCACAAACCGCTCGTTTCGTGTCTTAGGCCATCAATGTGTGCTTACATTTACGAGTCATTAAATCATGTTTAATTTGGACTTCTCTGTGCATGCTCTTTGAGGTGGTGACCATAGACCTCCATTATATGGCTGACAGACACGAACGGTTTGACCTAAAAATATCAAAATTGAAAATACCTACATCTTGGATGCCCTTAAAGTAAGATAAAACATACAAAAAATTAATTTCAAAGTGAACTATCACTTTAAGATCGAGCCACTGTAGTCACTTGAACTATTTTAACGATGTCTTTAATAACTTTCTGGTTTTTAATATAAATTACCGACAGAGTTTACATTTTTGGATGAACTATCCCTTTAATCGAAAAAAAATTAAGTATGGTAATGTGGAATTGTCAAGTACACATAACTTAATTTTTTTAATTAAGCATTGCGTTTATTTACTTGATAATTTCGAGGTTTACTAATCCCGACAGTGCAGCGTCTCCCGCAGGTTTCTCATCAGACACGGATATAACTGAGCTTGTGAGCTCGAGTGTGTGTGTGTGTGTGTGTGGGGGATCTCTTCTGTTCCTTCAGGAATGTTCCGGATTGACTTTCCCGGGTTTCATTCGCTAAGCTGACGGAGAACCGTGTGCTTTTAATTAAAAACACCTCAGCTAACAGAGGCCGGCGTTCGTTTGAAGTTCAACCCCAAAGCTTCAAATTAGCTTATTCTGAAGTTTAACTTTTAATAAACTCAAAACTAAACCCATATAATACCAGTGAGAATGTAAAGAATGGTAATCAGATTATTAAAACTGGCTGAGTAATATGAAATCAGTCCGGGAGAATATAGCCTTCACACAAAAACATGTCCTGAAGTATATAAATAAATAAATATACAAGATTTGTTCATTTTCAACCAAAACTATGATGAAAAATGTTCATCAGCGATCTTTGTTTTTCCATGACTGAGACGAGACGACAATAACTGGGACGATATCAGTGACGAAAACTAGACTAATATGGCCAGACGTTAAGTCGACTAAATCATGACTAAACATAAACAGGACTAAATATGATAAAAAAAAGACGTGGGAATAAGAATAAATTAAAAAATAGCAATATCCAGGATACATTTCACCTGAATAAAATAAGAGAATACATTTAGCAAATATATATATAAACACACACCAATGATACATATAATTAAAGTTTTAGAAGGGAAAATATATTATTAAAAGTAATAAAAGTAACTCCAGACCATTCCTGAAAGAAATATTTTATAATCGAAAATAAATGTTGTTGTTTTTTCCAGAAATTAATTAATTGTATGCGTGTAGATCTCTGTAGGTACTAAAATGCTTAATTTTTTATCTTAATTGAATTTAGTTTATTAGTTGAGCAAATTCTATCATTTTGAGAACATTAGCAAAAGAAAGCAGAGCACAAGAGAGAGAGAGAGACATGAAGAGAGAGAGACATTGAGAGAGAGATAGAAACACAAACCCGTCGCCGCATAATGTGATTTATTCTGATGCAGTGGGATATTTATGCAGTGGCGAAGCCCCAAAATGAAAAGGGACACACTCATCTCTCATCCCCACACACACACACACACACACACATCTTTATGCAGGCACAATTTACGAAGGAGAGCATAAACCGCAGTTAAAGCATTAGTTGTCATCCAGTGCCAGTTAGTTCCCATCAGGCATCATCACGTCAGAGACCGACACACACATTCACAGCGTCTGATCGTGGAGACGGGGTGTCTGTCTTTAAACGCAACACATTCATATTACACGCATAGCATGTGTTCAGTCGTTTGCTGCATATGAGATTATGATCATTAAATGCAAACCGATAACTGAAGACATGACTGGCCCTTTAAGACTGATCACAGTACGCCTCAAATTCTCTTTATAAGTAAAAGATGCAGTTTTATATGTACACTGCCGAGTCTGTATAACTAGTATGCTAATAATAATCCATTCTGAATAATTTCATAAATCATAATTAATAAACTAAATAAGGTTGCATGCTTAAACTAAATCTTAATTCTCACATCATGAATTCCTCTGGTTGCCGTTTTGCTCGAACTTAAGACTGATTATCCTTTTGCTAGAAACCTTGTGACCACATATTGACCAGGTCAAAGGTCAAGAGTTAAGAAGTTTAAACGCTCCCCCCTTCGTCACGTCACCACGTCTCCTCCAATCAGAGCGAGCGAGAGCTTCGTCATGCCCAATCAGCAATCGGCTCAGGCAAATCACACCATTTACCAATCGGCTGACAGGGTGGGCGGGGCTCCGGCCCCTATAAGATCTCCTCATTGGCCAAACCTCCCCAATCTTCAGTCTGGCTCTACGGACAGAAACACCAGCCAATCAAACAGCCCCGTTCTGCCAAAGCCCGCCCAGTCCGCTTCACAGAAGGCAGGGCCTCTTGGGATTGGATTAAGATTGTGAACGAGGATCTGTTCAACCTCAGAGACACGACCCAGGCAACATGACACAAGTTACATTAAATTAAACTGATCGTCATGATGGCTTTATGAGCTGGCCACAGAAATAAACATCAGAAGCCCTTTGTGGACGCCTGTAAGGTCATATTTTTGATACAATAGCTTATTCATTCACACATATTTGGAAATAAAAACATTTTAGAGAAAAAAAAGAGATTTAACAGAAATCCATGGGTTAAAACGCTATATACATTTAACCCTTGTGAATCAATTAAAAAAAGTTACACATAGGTAAAAAGAGGACAAAAACGTCCGTGTCAAAAAACTGTCAAAAATGTGACGCTTTGGAGCACAGACTTAAGTTTGGTATCATTTTAAAGAAGACCCATTGCAGATTATTGCTGAAGTAAAAAAATAATAATAAGTAAATCCAAAATTTTTATTTATAAAAAATATTTTATATAAAATATATATTTTTTCAAATCAGGTTGAACACAAAACTGCAATACAATCAAAGCCATAAATCTAAAAAGGTTGTGTTCCAAATGTGAGAATGATATCTCAAAAAATGAGCTTTCGGTAACAGTTTGTTTGGCCGTAGTAACATATTTTCCCCATTGGGTGCCAGCAAAACAGGAATAAAGCCATATTTGTTTTATAGGCCAAACTTAAAAAAATGACACCATCTGATAAAAAAAATAGTAAAAAATAAAATTTTGAAGCCTTGCCATCAGAATGAAAGCCTCTTAACAAAGATTGCATAATTTTATAGTTAACTGAACCGGGGATTAAAAATGGCAGTTTTCAATGGGGACATTTTTGTCCAAAAGGGGCTGAGAGGGAATATTTTTTTGTACCTAATGCAAAAAATATTTTTTTAAGAAAATGACGGTGAAATAGTAAAATTCCAATAAAAATACACACCGGTGGCAAGTTTTTTGCAGTTAGCTTTAACACAGGCAAAGTGATCAAAAAAACAACACGGAAAAGGACTAAAATATCCATAAGGATGCACAAGGGTTAACACGGACATAAAAAGTACTAAAATAATTTTTTTTTACAAAATTTGGAAATCCAGGCCATACAAACATACAGATGATTTTTCATAAAACTGTGCTGAATGTATGAACAATAGTCAGAAACAGACTCATTAAAACATCACAGATCTGACCTGGAATCAGCAGATAAAGGACAAGCCCCAGTCCAGACTAATAATAACGGATATAACTGATATCTGATAACGCTTTTATTTTGTATATTACTTATGCATATTCGTTTATTTCTCACATAAATGCAAATCGGTGTGGTTATGTGAACCATGACATTGATAAAAAAAAGCAGAGCTAGTTGTGTGTGTGTGTGTGTGTGTGTGTGTGTTGTGCTCAGCCGGAGAGCTGCACATTTAGGTCACGTCTCGCTACTAAAGCGTGGACAGCGAGTCTTTGTTCTCCTGTGTCTGTGTGTGATCGGGCCCTCGGGATGCGGTCTGTCGGGAGATGATGAAGCTCGACATTTCTATATCATCTCGTCTGTAACTAGTGCCTCAATCAGCCTTATCCAATCACTTCATACACGCATTCATTCATAAACCCTTTTCACTGGGAGAAAACTAGGAGAAATCCTTGGGAAAGACTTTAACTAAGGGACTTAACTATTACCACTAACTAACTGGGTCAATCTCACAAAACCTGGTAGGAATGTATTCAACCCCAAAAATCAAAATGAATAAAATAGCATTTTACTACTGCGGTCAAATTGATTAATCGCATCTAAAGTTTGCGTTTACATAATATGTGTGTGTGTACTGTGTGCATATGTATGAATATATACACACAAACATACATACAGTATATATATATTAGAGCCCGACCGATAAAGGATTTTGAAGGCCGATACCGATACAAATATTTGTTGGTTTTAGAATCCGATATATATATATATATATATATATATATATTTTTTTTTTTTTTCCAGAAACGTCCAACAAAACATTAACATATTTCCCAAACATTAGTTATTTGAAGTTATTTATGAGTTTTAACTAAAATAATATGATAATGCATTTTAAAAAGAAACTTGTTTCTTTCATTGTCACAACAGAACATCAAAATATATTAAAGTTCTGATAAATAAAATAATATAATAATATACAACTCCAACACTCATGACATGGTTGAAGCGTGTTTCGTCTATTTTTATTTTATTTTTGAAATATTCATTTATCGGCCATTATAACTGCTGATACCGATAGTTTGGGAAATGCTTAATATCGGCCGATAATATCGGCCTGCCGATAAATCGGTCCTCTAATATATATATATATATATATATATATATACACACATATACATACACACACATATTTTGTTAACTCAAAATTTTGTTAGATGTGATTAATTGAGATCAAATAAAACTGATCAAATTGACAGCACTACATTTTAAATAGATAAAATGAGGAAACTAACAATAAATATTAAATATGCAAAAATATATATAATATAATAAATATGCAAAAAAGGCTTAATATATACTTAAAATAAGTTGAAAAAAAATGAAAATAATGAAAAAAAAATAGAAAAGATTTTATTCTTTTTCTTTTAATTGTGCAGTGTGATGTGAAAAAATGCTGATATTCAGTGTGTGTGTGTGTGTGGGGGGGGGGGGGGGATGTAGAGTGGAATTTTAATGTCAAACTGCTGTTGACATTAAATATATTCTAAGTACAAAAAAAGGCAAAATATTTCGATTTCTGGGGTGAAATGTGACCCTTTTTAAGTGAGATTCACTCAATGAAACTATAAGTAACTAGTTTGTCTAAGTGTTTTACTCATCATGTCATCAGAAGCTCATGGCATGCAGAAGACAGTCCCGACTCACGACTACAGCTACAGGGACACTGAGCACTACGGGCTAATCCACGACCCATAAATCATACCTGGCAGCAGACGGATCTGAAAATCTAGATTCTGCAAATCAAAACAGTCGGGACGGGCAAAAGGAGGAAGAAGACAGAAAGCAAGAGAGACATCAAACTGGAGAAGCAAGTTAACCCGTGTGTACACCAGAAGTGTGCGGTTCACATAGCTGCTACGCTTCTTCAGATTAGACTTGCATATGAGAAAGCATTTCAATATCAAACCAGATACATCAGTGCGTCTGTACGCTACAGCGAGACTCATGAAGATGAAGAGGTCGTGTGTGAGAGCTCACTGTAACCAACAAAGGAGTGTTTTGTTCTGCAAGCGCTGGGGAAGCTGGGTAATACACACGCCAGAGCAGTCGCAGTGAACCTGGAGATCCTGAGGGATTTCTGCCTTTCAATTCAGACGTCGGAGCGAGAGAGCGAGAGAGAGAGAGAGAGAGGACGGCGATGCGAAGGTCAAAAACACTCTGAAATACGCGAGCGCCCCGTTGCTTTGCTGTGGCGCTCGAGCGGGAACACACCCGTTAAACCAGATCTTACGGTAACCAGGGTTTGAAGTTAACTTTCACACTTTAAGGGCGTTTTCACACCTGAAGATCTGCACCGAAGTTCATATTTTGATACATTCAGTAAGTTTTGCTTGGTTTCACATTGCAATTTGCCCAATGGCTAAGCCACGCCCCCTCCACTCACTGGGACACACAGTTAACGCTCAGGGACGGGCGCTATGGCAGCGGTCACATGGCAATTGGTGATTTTTGGAGACATCATCTGGAAGTCTTCTAAAGGGCATTAACCTATTTAGGCCTAAAACGCCTGCTAAAAAAGGCCTGCTTTTCTGAAAACCCCCTCCCAAAACCTTAAGGTTTCCAGAAATATTTTTCAAAATTTGTCAAAGCCTACTAAAATCTTCATTTCTCAGGCTCAATGTCAGATAAAAACATGGAATAAAAAGCCGACACCGCTCAAAATGATGCAGACGCATTTGCCGGGCGTAAAGGTCACTACGCACAGATGCGCGATCTGGTCTTAAAAGTAATGTGTGATCCGGTTTTAATGGGTTAAAAGAGTAGTTCACTTTAAAAAAAAATTTTTTTAAATTCATCCAAGATGTCCATGTCTTTCTTTCTTCAGTTGAAAAGAAATTAAGGTTTTTGATGAAAACATTCCAGGATGTTCTCCATATAATGGACTTCAATGGGGTCCAAACGGTTCAAGGGCCAAATGAGAGTTTCAGTGCAAACTGTTCAAAGGGCTTTAAACGATTCCAGACGATGAATAAGGGTCTTATCAAGCGAAACGATCGCTCATTTAAAAAAATAAATTAAAAAGTTTAAGTTTTATAAGCTCAAATGCTCGCCTTGCTCTGTTCTGTGACGCGCGTTCGTGACTCTCCTGTTCGAACTCGTTCATCAAAATGAACTAATCTTTTTTCGT